CCATCTCTCCCAGAGGGTGTTAAGGAACAGCCCCGACTCATGCCGATTTCCAGCCCCCATACAATGTGAGGATTGTACTTCTGCTTAGAGAGCTCTAAGAACAACCTGCAGCCATAACGCAGGACCAAGTAGCCCCACGCAGATGAGCATAACTCGTCCCTGGCCTTATGAACTTTGTGATGTCAGGGTGGGATGCTGAATCAGCCCTCCAAAGTCAGGAAAGGAGCTGTAGTCTGCAGGAAGGAGAAGACTGGCTGTCCTCTCCCAGGAACTTGGGATCCTTGCCAGATTTGTGGCTCCAGCCCCAAGAAATATCAGGCAGGATTCACCACTGTTAATAATAACTGGCACATGACTGAGTGCAGAACTGAAACGCAGATGGCCAAGGAGCCGAGAGTGTCCTTAAAAGAGAAGGGACAAGTTTGGGTGAAGGAAGAAGGTATCAGAGAGAGAAACATACGTGTATTTACACGTGATTTCGGGACATTCTACCATGCCCCCACCCCACCCCTTTGTGATGCCCAACCCTGTAGCCCACTTGCCTGCCTCAGATGCTATCACTCACTCCTGGATACAAAAGCCATCCAACCTTTTTCTGTATTAGGCAATTTCTCAAGCCCTGACTCCTACTGTGGAAAAAAAATGTAGGTCTTCTCTATAACAAATGCTTTCATTTTCTCTTTTTACCTCCCCTTCACCTGAGACATTTCTGCAGCTACTTTCTTCTTCCAGGTAGCTGAGTGTTCCAAACTCCTAATTAAGGGGCAACACCTAGACTTGGCTTTCCCCTGCCTCAGCTCCTCGAGAGGCTTCCTCACAGAGTTCAGTTAAAGGTGCTGAGCCACGATGTCCAAAAATGAGAATGAAGCCAAAATCCACTCAATGATTCTTCTGAATTGTGCCTGTTTGGATGCGAGGCCAACTGCATGGTCTCCAAGAATCCTCAGGGCAAAGGGCCTCTGCCCCCGCAGCTGGCATCAGGAAAATGGAATAAGCAGCCTGGATTTCAGCTGAGGACCACTGCTCAAAGGGGTTCCCAGATCCTCTGAGCTGTGAATAAAGACGATTTTTTTAATAGGATAACTGAATGGAGAAAGATTTTCACAGGATAAAATGGATCCCTGGTTGGGCACAGTGGCTCACGCCTGTAATCCCAGTACTTTGGGAGGCCGAGGTGGGTGGATCACCTGAGGTCAGGAATTCAAGACCAGCCTGGCCAACGTGGTGAAATGCCATCTCTACTAAAAATACAAAAATTAGCCTGGGATGGTGGCACATGCCTCCTTAGTAGGTGGGACTACAGGTGCATGCCCCAGCTACTCGAGAGGCTGAGGCAAGAGAATCGCTTGAACCTGAGAGGTGAAGTTTGCAGTGACCCGAGGTCACGCCATTGGACTCCAGCCTGGGCAACAGAGTGAGACTCCTTCTCAAAAAAACAAAACAAAAAACAAACAAAACCAGATCACTTCTTTGCTGGATTCAGTTCAAACTTAAGATTTAGAAGTGAGTTCTAATTTGAGTCTGATAATATCACTTCCCTTGACAAGTTAGGGAAAATTAAAATATTGAACAAAAAGAATAGAGGGAGATCAAGAAAATGGGACAACCACTGGCAAAATGAGAAAGTAGACAAAACTGGGTTTCAGTGCCTGATCCCCTGTACTAGTGCACCTGGCGTTCCCTGGGGGAACCTGCCATTGGAATAAATAACCCAAGCCAACACAATGCCTGGTCAAAACTTACCTATTCTGTGCCCAGTGGAGATAAAGCATATTTTAAAGTGGCCATGAAATAGAGACACTGGAACTGTAATCAGGGCTATCTAGGGACTTAATACTCCAAATCAAAGTCGTGAACCTCAGATACTATTTCAGGCAGCAAAGGAGATATTTAGAGACAAGGCGACTTTTCCAACTACCTCCAGATTTGATTCTCCTGTGATGAAATCCTAATTTGCAGATTTGTGTCCCAACTAACCTCCCTTCTCTGGCCTCTTGCATTGTTCTCTCCACTATAAATTAACCTACTGACCATGGACACATAAGAAGTGCATCCGGCACATATGTTTATTGCAGAACTATTTACAACAGCAAAGACTTGGAACCAACCCAAATGCCCATCAATGATAGACTGGATAAAGAAAATATAGCACATATATACCATGGAATACTATGCAGCAATACAAAAGAGTGAGTTTATGTCCTTTGCAGGGACATGGATGAAGCTGGAAGCCATCATTCTCAGCAAACTAACACAGGAACAGAAAACCAAATACCTCATGTTCTCACTCATAAGTGGGAGTTGAACAGTGAGAACACAAGGACACGGGAGGGGAACTTCACACACCAGGGCCTGTCGGGGGTGGGGGGCAAGGGGAGGGAGAGCATTAGGACAAATGCCCAAAGCATGTGGGGTTAAAACCTAGATGATGGGTTGATAGGTGGAGCAAACCACCATGTCACATATATAGCCGTGTAACAAACCTGCACGTTCTGCGCATGTATCCCATAACTTAAAGAAAAAAAAAGTTCATCTGGGCAAAAGTCTCTGAAACCCACTACTTTCTATGGTGGAACCGGTACATGAAGGTGAATGGAACCAGTTTCAAGGGTTTCTGCAGCAAGAAGTGCATTTGCAGAGAAGTTTGTGAACAGCTTGCCAAATTTCAGCCTGGAAGAATTTTATTATCTTTGATTTACCAACCTAGAAATGGGCTTATAAGGGAAATTCTTAGTGATGTCTTCTTAGCAGGCAACTGTAGCAACTGCCACACACCTACCTCGCTGCCCTGGAGCCTGGAGTACACCGTTACGTCCAAGTTCTGGCCTTTGAAAAACTGAAGCTGAAACAACTAGAGCGTAACCTGCCTGCTCCACCCTGGAGTGCTCAGAGGAGAATAAATTAACTTCCCCCAGCCAACCCAGTAGTCCCAGTCCTGAGCTAGAAAGCAGTAGCTGTTAGAAAGAATGCAGAAAGCAAAGCCACAGTGCCTTCATTATACTATTAAACTGTAATCACCTTTTTCTATAAGCGTCTTCCTGTTTTCCCTGAAGGGGGATGGTTTAACTGCCGTGCTAGGGCAGAGGTGCCAACTCAGCAGAGAGACTTCCTGTGGGTCTGGGAGGCAGTTGTGTTAAGCATGCTGTGGCATGCCCACTGACCAGAGGCAGGCTGTGAGGGGGCCCCCCATCCTGACGGAGGGCCAGAGGCAGGGGCTCAGAGACTAACTAAGGCTCCTGGCTTAAGGAATGATGTTGATTTCCTTTTCTCAGGGCCAGCACTAGGATGAGGCAAGCCAAGTGCTTAGGGAACAAGACTTAAGGAGCTGTTCACTCTCAGGTCCTGCAAGTAGCTCCTTCGCCCCAGTGCCAGCCCTACTCAGAGTCAACAACAGCACAGGTTGTGTGTGTGTGTACATGTACTGTGGAAGTCGGCAGTTCTCAAAGTGTGGTCCCGAGACCAGCATCATCAGCATCACCTGGGAACTTGTTAGAAATGCTCAGTCCCCCTGAATCAGACACTCGGGGAGTGGGGCCCAGCAATCTGTGTCTTACAAGCCCACCAGGTGACTCTGATGCAGCTGAGGTGTGAGAAGCCCCGTGCTGGAGAAGAGTGTTCTCCAAAGCCAGTCTCGTGGCATTTCTAAGGCCATCTCCCACAATGCTTCCATACAGCCAGTATAGGGAAAAGGTGAGTGGTGAGATTACAGAGACTTTCCTAAAGCCATCAGCAAGACAGGAATCCCTCGAATAATAAATCAGGAATTGCTTTTTCCCAGCCACTCCTAAGTAGACTGTAGTAGTCAAGACTTGGCAATAAAGATGGAGATTACTACTGAACCAGTTCCTTCCTGTTTCTTACTAACTAGACACTCAGAGTTAGCCACTCAGTGACACTGTGATGTGGACTAGCCATTTGAATATTCTATGGCTGAGATTCCTTCCTCTGTAAAATGGGTCCAACATCACCTACCTGTGAGGGTCAGAGGAGCTAATGTATGCAGAACCCTGAGTAAAGGCCTGGGGCAGAGTAAGCTGTGGTGACAGTTCATACATCTAACCAGGGGTTCTGGACTCCATCCTCCCCCAGGCAGCCAGGTGGGAGCATCTGGGACCTGAGGGCAATTGAGTGGGGAAGGAGGTGAGCTGGTTTCATCTAGGGTACTATGTTTTTTAAAGAAGGCTATTTTCCAATCCAAATAGTCTGTGGGCAGCAGGTTTCACTGGTGGTCACAAAAGAGAGAGAGAGAAAGGAAAGGAGAAGGGATACCCAGTGCCGCCTGCTATTGGGTACTGAGAACCACACTTTAAAAAAAAACAAAACAAAACCAAAAAAAACCTATATAAAGGCACGAAGACACTTCAGAAGACCCCACATTTCAACTTTGTCCGGGACCCAAACAGTATAGAGTAGTAAGACAATGCCCACCAGTGAGACAGGGACCCCAGGCATTTGGCAGTGTACATGGTTTCTTTTGTCCAGGGCAGGATGATAAACACGAGTGTGAGGATGAAATCATGCAGCAAAAAACGCTGTCAGGATTAAGGCAGACCTGATGTCTTAGCACTGAGGTCCCATCACAGAATTGTGGAATCTTTTCTGCAAAGCTGAAGGAGAGCTAGTCCCATCCAACTTTTCCCAACTCACAGACATGTCTCCTGAGGACCAGAAAGGTTGCTGGCCTGCAGAGGGCACATAGCTGGTGGGGAACAATCATTAGCTGTGCTCCGTTTCTCCCTTCCATTAAGGAGTGCTGGGGTGAGACGCAAATTTTAAGCTTCTACCCATAGGCCAGGTAAACAAAGGGCTGCCTCCCGCCCGCCCCGTGCCTGCTTCAGCCATCCCTTGCAGCACAGCTGAGGGCCTGAAGGAGGATCCATGACTCACACTTTTCTTGCCGCGGGGAATTAACTCCAAGATAACATTACCAATGTGGGAAAAAAAGCAAGCCATCAAGGAAGAAAGTTCACCTCGCGCCCCTCTCCACTGAGCCCCCTTACCTTCCTCATTTAAAATCCACGGCAGAAAGGCCAACACGGAGTCAAAGCTGCAAGTGCTCTCTTCAAAGGCGCAGGACCCAGCGGGCAGGTCGAGGGCACCGGCGAGCTGCAGGGCTGCGGGCACAAAGCGAGTTTCAGTTCGAGCTCCCCCCAGGAGCGTTTGAACCAACTCGGGGAGCCCCAGGGGGACTACCTGGTGAAAGTAGGGGAAAGACGAGCGGGAGGGGGTGGGAGAGGGATGCAGTACCTGTCCCCCAGCATCCCCGGGCCCCTCCGCTGAGCGACCCCACGCCCACCCCCACCCCACGCTTGGCCAGCGGAGGGAGTTAGCGGCTGCGGAGGATCGGGAGGTGCCCTCGGATGGCCCAGCCCAGCACGATGAGCCGGGCCCCCGGGGGCAGCAGAAGCGGAGGCGAGTAGTCAGAGCGTCTCCGGGGTTGTCCCGGGGTCCCGGCCTTACCTTGCAACGCCAGGAGGACGGCCCTTAACAGCATGGTCGCGTTTCAGGGAGGATGACTAGGAAGAGGTGCAAGTTGCCAGCCCCCTGGGACAGGCTGCTCCTAGTGAAAGGGATCGTGGGAGGCAGGGGCGCCGGAGACCCGGGAAGGGAGAAGTCGAGAGGTAAAGCTTGTGCTCTGAGCTGCCCAACTTTGCAGAACGGCTCCCGGAGCTGAGTGGTTTGCTGGAAGGTGCCCGAATGGAGAGCGCCAGCGCCCCGGCGCTGAGCAGCAGCCTCAGGTCAGACCGCGGCCCAGCTGGTCCTGGGCGACGGTGGGGCTGGACAGGGAGGAGACAACTGCACACTTTGAAAGGCCAGCCACAACTGGCTGGGAAAGGAGAGGTCGGCCAACACTGCCTTCGCTCAGGATTTTAAAGCTTGGGACCAGAGCCCTTGCAGACACTTGGAAGGGGCAGGCCTTCCAGGAGTCCCTCCGCTGGATTGGGACCGGAGGCGCCCGCCCCGCCCAGCCGCGGTGGGAACTCGCTTATTTCTGGGGACAGCTTCCCTGCATCTGGCATGTCAGTCCCGCAGGGCTGGCCCTAATTTTAACTTCTCCCCAGATTGAAGGAGGGTGGAATTCTCCTAGGACAGCCTGGAGGAAAATTTGGAAACGGTTGGGTGGAATAAGCTTTATATCTAAGGAGTTTCGGCATTTACGGTCCAGCAAAGCTAACCGTAGAATACCACCCCTACTTTTTTTAGCCGGTGGAATGTCTGGCATGCCTGGTGCTCAGCATTCCCTCCGTCCGGTGAAATGGGGGCATTCCTTCTCTCCAAAGAGCCATGATAGATTGATTAGTGGGAGGCTTTAAACTGGGAGGGGGTTGTTGGAGGCAGTTAATTCTGAGGAACCTGTTTGCTTTGGGCACTAAGTGGGTCTCCAACAATATTCTCTTCCTGTAAAGAGTTCTTCTTCCTCCCCTCTTCCTTTCTCCCATTTATGATTTTGTGCAGGCAATTTTGTGAGGAGGGCAGTGGTTTTAAAACCTGACTGCATCAGAATCTGCTGAAGAGCCTCACCTTCCGTTTCTGATCCAGTAGCTCTGGAGTGGGTCTGAGAGGCTGCACGTCCCTAATAAGTTTCCAGAGGCTGCTGCTGCTGCAGCTGGTTTGGGACAATACTTTCAGGACCACTGGCCTAACAAACCCCTGTTGAGCCATCATTTCAACCTGCTTCCATGCCTTCACCTGGCTTCCAGACCGCTGGGTTTCCTGTCTTTCTTGGCCGCTTCTTCTCAGCCTCTTTGCTGTTACCTCTGTAACTCCTTAACACGAGAGTGCCTCCAAGTTCTACCCTATCACTCCTATTTCTTTCACTATCCAGCCCCTCAATGCTTTCTTCCAGTCTCAGAGTTTTAGATACCAATGATAGCCTGATAACTCCCACATTTATATTTCTAGCCCAGACTGCTCACTCACGCCAGACTCTTCGATCTCATTGCCACCTCAACATTTCCAATTGGATGCTTCAGAACTATTTCATACTTAACGGGTCCCAACATGAAGGCTGCATATTTCTTCCCAAACCCGTCCTTCCCCTGCGTCTTCCCCATCTGAGTTAAAAGAACTATTTTCTTCCAGTTGCTCAGGAGAGAAAACTTGGAGCCATCTCCAGCTCATCTGTTCCTCTCAGACATTGCCAATTTCTATCAGTTCAGGATTCGAAACACAGCAGATGCTGACCATGCTCCGCGCCCGTGGTGGTGATGTCTTGGTTGGTCCAAGATACCCTCACCATCAGCCTGGGACACTGCAGTGGCCTCCTGACCACGGTCTCCCTTCATTTTCTACCCTGCTCACCCTATTCTATTCTGAACACACTAGTCAGGGTTATCCTTTTAATACAGAAATTGGGCCACGTCACTCTTTAGCTCAAGGCCCAACAAGTTCGCAAGTTATTTAGTAAAGTCCAAAGTCCTCATGATGACCAACCAGGCCCTATAAGACCTGCTCCACCCTCTTCTTTGTTTTCTTTTCTTGCTTTCCTTCTCTTTTTCTTTTTTTGAGACAGAGTCTCACTCTGTCACCAGGCTGGAGTGCAGTGGCGCGATCTCCACTCACTGCAACGTCCATCTCCCAGGTTCAAGCGATTCTCCTGCCTCAGCTTCCTAAGTAGCTGGGATTACAGGTGCGTGCCACCACGCCCAGCTAATTTTTGTATTTTTAGTAGAGACGGGGTTTCACCATGTTGGCCAGGATGGTTTCAATCTCTTGACCTCGTGATCCACCCGCCTTGGCTTCCCAAAGTGCTGGGATTACAGGTGTGAGTCACTGCACCCTGCCCCACCCTCTTATTTCTCTGACTTCAACCACCCTGCTTATTCCTCTCTAGCCACACGGACCTCTTGGCTTGTCCTCAAACACAGTCCAGCTATCCTTTCAGAATTTCACACTGGCTGTTCCTTCTGCTCAAAATGCTCTTCCACAAAGAGCCACACAACTCACTGCCTAATGAGATCTTCACTCAGATGTCACTTTCAGTATCAGAAAATTTAGTAACCTTCTCCCTAATAAGCAAAATATGTCTGGAATCCTTTTTTAAAGGTAGGAGCAAATTTTCATGTGTTTTCTGTAAACAATGATTCAAATGATCTAAAATTTTTTCATTAGTGTGTGCCTCAGGTAGTAGTAATGATAACATTTATTGTGTTTGCCATTATAAATGTTTTATGTAGATAATCTCACTTAAGCTTCACAAAATCTCTATAGGATAAATATGTTTATTATCCCCATTTAATAGATGGGGAAGCTGAGGCGCAGAGTTCAGTGACAGTGGACAGTAGAGACAACACTCAAACCCAGATCTGCTTCATTCCAAAAGCCTATTTTCTCAACTAGTACAGGAGCCCCTCTCACTTGGGTCTTATATTCTTTTTCTGACTTCTTGATCACAGATGGTGTTAAATATCTGATGCATTTCATCACATTACTTAACTAAAAATTCAAAGACAGTTATATATCCAGTTGAAACCTCAAAACACTATTTTCAACCAAACAAGTTTTCAGCAACAATCAAACTGGTGCTCCTTTTTCCAGATACTTATGGAGTATTTCAAAGTTTTAGAATTGCCTTCGATTCATGTCATATGTTCTAAGTCATAGGAAAATACAAAACCTCAAAACCCTAAAGAGATCCCCTTAAAATTTAAAATATGATTTACAACCTTCAGGTGACATTGTGTATTGCCACCTATGGCAACAGAATCACTATACTTAAGTACAAACTCAGAGTAAATTTTCTATTTTGCATATAATTGTTTGATCCCAAGAATATACAACCCTTAGACATTGGCACAAGTTAGAACATTTGGGAAGCAGACTCTGATTTGGAGTTTAATGTGCAGGGTATTTAATCAGGAGTACCTTGGGATCAGTGTCATGGAAGGGAGGGAGGGAAGCAGGAATGGGTGGAGGGAGAATTAAAGTTGCAATGCAAATCCCACAAAGCTTATATCAACCCTCCAGGGAACTATGGAGTTAAAACAGCCTATCCAACTTGTCTCATGTTAGGCTGAAATGAAAGGGCATTTGTAGTGCTGTCTTCATCTGTCACTGGAGGTGGCCTACCTTGGGACAGAAGTGATCTCCAGTGAGGCAGCTCTCTGCACTGGGGAGGATCAGAAGTTGAAGGCGGATGACAATACTCCCAGCCGCTGGGACTAAAAGTCCTTTCTTGAAGGGGGATCTTGACAGCACAACCATGCCTACCACAGACGTTTTGCAGAGAAAGGAAATGATACTGTATGTGGCCTAAGTCAGGATGCAGGGGAAAGGACTGAGGAGGGAATCCAGGGAATCTAGAAATTACGTCAACCTACTTCCTTTGGTCACTAATCATAGCACCCACATGGTACCCACCTGGTATCCTCTTATTACTTGGGAAAACAGGATCAGGCCCCAAGGAACCCAGAACTCTATTATTCTCCAAGATTTAGCTTAAGCAACCGATCAAATAACACATGTCAAGTTCTGGCTTACAGAAAGCACTCAGTACTTAGGTATTGTAATAGGTTGAATGGTGGCTCAAAAGATACATCTGTATCCCAGAACCTGCAAATGTGACCTCATTTGGAAAAAGGGACTATGCAAAATTAATTAAGTTAGGGATCTTGGGAGGAAATCATCCTGCATTACCAGGTGGGCTCTAAATCAATGACAAGTGTCCTTATAAGAGACAGAAGAAAAGGCACAGACACATGTAGGAGGTGGTCATGTAAAGATGGAGTCGGAGATTGGAGTGATGCAGCCCCAAGCCAAGGAATGACAACAAATTCTCCCCTAGAGCCCCAGAAGACTGTACTCTGCAGACACCTTGATTTGGGGCTCTGGCCTCTGAAACTGAGAGAGAAAAGCTTTCTGTTCTTTTAAGTCACCCAGTTTGCAGTAATTTGTTCTGGCAACCATAGAAAACTAATATAGAATGCACTAAGTAAACACGTGCCAGGCACCTAATATGCATTATCTCATTTAATACATGCAATATCCCTAAGAGGTGAATATCATTATTCTCCCCATTTTATAGACTAGGAAACAGGACCAGAGGGGGTCATTTAACCTGCTCAAAGTCACACATCCAGCCAGCTTGCAGCAAGGATTTGATCCCAGATGCCTACCCCTCCTGGTTATCCACTATGCTGCCCTTAAATGCTTCCTCCTTACACAGGCCTGTCTCTCCTAATGAGGGCTGCCTACACCACACACAGGCACCACGCCATGCTTTCTCTATGGGTTCCTGCATGATGCTCACCTCTCGCAGAGCCTGCCCACCCGCTCTGCTCTTTGCCAATCTGCTCCTGCCTCCTTCCAGGTAACTTTCACCAGGGACTTTGCTCTTTGTTGTACCTCTTCTAGCCTGGAGATCACCAAGTTCTTGCTTCTAACTTTCTGGGTCAAGCTGAGGAAGATGAAGTATTGCTGCTCCTCTCTATCCAGTGTCTTCCCACATAGCCAGCTGAGGCATTGGAGGGAGTGAGCAAATCTGTAGGAAGAAAGCAAGAAAACCAGCGTTTATGATTGTACCTTTGCCTGCACTACAGAGGTTAGGCCAATCTCAGAGGCTGTCTTTACTGCCCACTTTCCCTTCTGTTTGCTCTCTCTCCTTACTTGTTATTCTCACACAGTGTCATGCTAAGATAAGCTCAGCAAATATTTCCTGAGCACCTACTGTGAGCCAGGCACTATGCTAGGGGCTGGAAATCCAGAGGTCAAGAAGACACATCCTCTGCTGCTGAGACAGGAGACTGACCCATGGGACAATAATTTCAATAAAATATGTGGATGAGATAGAATAAAGACTGTAAATATAAAAAGTCTAGAGGCCAAGGAAGTCACATAAATGAATGGAGTGATCTGGTTACAGGGAAGAAATAGGGAGGGATGGAGACTGTGGTTAACTGGGGTAAGTAAGCCCAACTAAAGAGTATGACAGAAACCATCTCTACCCCATCTGCTCATGTTTCAAAAGAAGCCCAATATTCAGATATGTCTATAACAGCTCCTGAGTCTCAGACGCCAGCAAGAAATTAAAACAATATACTCAAATCCCTGTGGGGTAGAACAAAACCTGTTGGGAGGTTAAATTCAATTCTTGAGCTGAAGTTTGCAGCATTATGATAGAACCATGGAGACAGAGAGTAGGGTACCTCACTGCTCACTCCTCCAGAGGAGGTAGCCAGGCACACAGGAGCAGTCCCATTCTACAGTAGAGAAAATAGAGGCAAAAAAGTCTAGGTGACTTTTAATCAAGGCTGT